GAAGTCAATTTGGCTGAAATTAGCAGAATTTACCATGAAAAACTTTAATTTATCTGAAAGCAGCTGGACCTTGCTTAAAAAAAAGGTAGCTGAAAAGTTAGAACAATCTTAAATTAGTGTAAGAAAGCAGAAAAAACATGTTTGCCCAATTACCGGTAGGCTGAAAGAAGCAGCAATGAGCACAAAAAGTGGAAATTATCTGAATCAATCTGAATTTAGCAACAACAACAAAAACAACAAGAAACAGCTAAAAAGGTAGAAAGAAGCTGAAATTACAAGAAGGAAGTGGAGAGAGTGCATTTTACTGAATTAGGCTGAAAACGTTTAAATGAGTGCAAAGAAAAATGTGGAATTAGCTGGAAAAGCTAAAATTAGCATTAAAAACAGCCAAAAAAAAAAAAAAAGTGGAAGTGAGCTCAATTCATTTTCTATGAGGAAATAAAATGGCAGAAAAGGGCTAAATATTTCAAAAAGCTAAAGTTGCACCAATACTAAAAGTCACAGCAGGATTGTCCTGAAAGAGCTGAACGTTTTGATTTATGATTTGTTGAAGTGGCTTCAAAACTGCGGGACGAGAATTGTGCCAAAAAAAAAAAAATGTACGGAAGAAAAATGGATCACAATAGTCTGAATGCTTCGTTCACACAATAGCCAAAATGAAATAAAAGTAACAAAAAAACACAAAAGAACAGCAAAAACTAATCACAAAGCACAGATCATGGCACAGTTTGTCATATCAGTGACGATTTTCTGTGAGTTTCAACTTAAGTGAAAATAAAAAGTGGAAGTTTCTGACGTGCCGTTTCCTCAAACATCAATCAACTGAAGCAACTTTATCTTCAACACAGCTGCTGAAGAAGAGGAGCAGAAAATGGGAAACATCCAGCTCTCTATTAAGCACCCACTTTATAAAAAGTGTGTGATCGATCTCACCAACAGAGAGATGCAGAAAATGACCGTCCTGCAGCTGAAGAAGATGATCTTCAAGAAGGAAGGCATCCCAGGTACGCTTACTGAGACAAGTTACCTGCTGCCATTTCACTCACTCATCTAATGAGTAAAAACACATTTATTCAAGCAAAATCATAACGAAAATGTTAAAGTAAATTCTGCAGAATTATCGATTTTATTGACTGGATCAACACATTAGACTTTTAGGCTCCTCTGTGATAAAAATCTGTTTTCTACAACTCAGAAATATGTCAATTATAATATGACTGCAAATTTATAGCAGTGATTTTTAAAAGATCTTTGCGTGTGTGCTTGTTTTTCTGTGTGCGTTCCAGTGAATAAACAACGGCTCATGTTCGATCACTGTCTGATGAAAGACTCGGCGTTGCTGGATGAATATAGAGTTCATCCTGAGAGTCCGTGTGTTCAAGGTAAAGAGCATCAAACTCAGCGGACTTTTGCAAATGCTGCCATCAAAGCCTTCGAACCAAACGCATCGTTCTTCTCAAATATTTGCCTAAAATGAAACACAAGTCATAGCTGTCCATCTTTTTTGATGCTTGGTGTAGAAAAACACAACAAATGAGTCAGAATAAACCAACTCTGTGATTGTTTTTTTTTTTTTTTTTTGTATTTAATATTGAACAAATGCCACCAAACATATGAGACGGTTTCAGGGCCAGGGCTTAAATTAGTCCAGGATTAGCTGTGGCAGCTGTGGTTTAGTAACACAAGGACGCAGAACTTAAAGGGACACTAACGAGACATAATGACGAACACCTGGGGTGATTGGGAATGCGCGCAGGTGAAGCAGGAGTTGGCAACACGAAGGAAGAAACACTGGGGAAGGCACAAGTACCGTATTTTTCACCGTATAAGTCGCACCTTTTTGCATAAATTTGCAAGTCCTGCGACTTATACACCGAAACGACTCGTATACGTTTTGTTTTTTTTCCCCCCTCCATATTTAAAACCCAATTTTTGGCTGAGATCTGATGATTTCATTCATTCTGACGTGAAAAAGATTAAACATTACCATTTGTAGCCACTAGAGGGTCCTCAAGCATTATGGCAAGCCAAGTGTCTCATTAATAGGTAAAAGTGGCTATTAATGAGACACTTGGCTTGCCATACAAAGCCACCTTCGTCTCGCTCCGGAACTCCTGGAGCAAACGTTAATTAGGAATGTCACGATAACAAATTTTGCTGGGCGATTAATTGTCAGAAATGATTGCAATAAACAATAATATTGTTTGAAATTTGACAATAATGAGTAATTGTCAAATTTAAGAAGAAATGTTTAATTTGTTTTGCGTGTACTGCGTTTTTTTCCGACCACCAGATGGCAGTATAAGACTGTTTGAACCAAAGGATGGCTAGTGAGGGAGCGAGCAGCGTGTCTCTAAGAAAAATGGGAGGGAGGCCACGTGACGCGACATGGGCTGTCTCGCTTCGGTTCTCAAAATGGCATACGCTCTGTGTTGTTTGAGCTCTCTAGCATAGCATTTTTCACACAAAGCTTTTATTTAAAAAAAATCAGTGAACAAGTTCTCGGCTTCTTTTTGCAGAGAAAAACAACTTTTTACACGAAGGCGCGGGTTTTAACCGTGAATTTTTGGAGCTTCGACAAGATGGAGGTTTTTTTTTTTTTTTTTCCAGAGGTCGGCCTGTTAGCTTAGCTCGTAGCTTAGCTTCTCAGCTTAGCTGCTTTTAATGATCCAAAAACATGATTTTGGGCGGTTAACACAGATTTTAAAGAGAAAGGGAGGGGTCAGTGAAAACACAGGTGTTGAGCTTTTTGTCATCCAGTGTCTTCAGTAGAAAGAGAGATATGAAGAAGCTCACTTTCCAGTTGTGATCCAGGAGTGGTACAAGTGTAGACAACACAAAAAAGTTAGTCCTCTTCCTGTCACAGGACGTCTTATCTCTTTAGCGAAAAGGAAAAATGTTCAGGAAGGATAAAAAGATGGAATCCTAAAAAAAAACAAGCTTTTGGACCCAGTTAAATGTTTTCTTGCATAAAAACAGTATGTCTATTCAAATTTGAAACCAAATTATTGAATACATTTCTTGTTTCAGATGTTAATTAACTTGTTTGTAAGGAGGTAAAAAAAAAAATTTGACGCGGTCGAGGGTCAGACAGTTTTAAAATATAAAATATTTGTTCTTAAATTCAGTATTTTATTCTGGAGAAAATATTCGCAAATTACTTCAGCTTACTGAACCGGTTTGTTTTCCACGATGGAATGATGATGCAACACACAGCAATCATCATCACATTAGATAAATGGAAATTCTCATAATGTTAAAACACAACTCATTATGATTTCTGTGAACAGGTTTGTCTTGTGAAGATGTTTTTCTGTGACTTTTATCTAAATCGTGTGAGAGGGGGGGAAAAAAAACTGAAGGAACTTTGTCTTCACCACAGGTGCAGAAGAACAGGAGCAGAGAATGGAAAACAAGGTCTTTATTGAGCCCGTGACTGGTGAACAGACCGAGTATAATCTCGGCAACACAGAGGAGATGCAGAAGATGACCGTGCTGCAGCTGAAGGAACTGATATATGAGAAGGAAGGCGTCCCAGGTAAACTTATCAGCTCCCAGTAGACTCATTTATCTAATGAGTGAAAACACATTTGTTAAAGTAAAACCTGCAGGCTTGCTGATTTTTTTAAATTGGATTGGTATCTGTTAGCTACAACTCAGAAATATTTCTCTGCTCATATCCATGGTTTCTAAGGGTGCATTCCCACCAGCTCTGTTTAGTCCGCTTTAATCGAACTCTCATCCGTTTGTCTTGAAAGTCTGGTTCGTTTGTGGAGGTGTGATTGAGCAATCGACTCTGATGTGGACCAAAAAAGTGACTCTGGTCCGCCTACATACTTGTCTCAGTTCGGTTGAAGTAAACTCTAGCGCGCTTCGAATGCAGTGTGAATGCAAGCAAACCGGACTTCTCTAAAAGCAGGAAGTGGACTAAAGTGCAGGGCATTCTGGGTAAATCCGACCAAAACAAACGCACATTTCTCATACGTCATACGGGAGCCGTCTCAGCCGCCTTGTGTGAAGAGCAACATTCTCCGTGGTCTTCCGCCTCATCTGCTGCTCATGCCGAGTCCATTGTTGGAAAATGTTTGTTTGGCACACGAGCCACAGACAAAACAGAAATCCTAAAACCGCTCAGATATGACGCCACCCCATTTTTGTTTTTATTTCCAGAAGCAAGTTGCGCTCAGTGTCTTCTTCAGAGGTTTGTGTGTCGTTTCCTTCAGTAGTTCTTGGTGCAGCACCACCACAGGCGAGAGGCAGAACAGGTTGGCTCATTGACTCCGTGCACTTTGAATGCAAACCACCGGCTGAAAATGTAAACGAATGGTCCAAATGTTGGTCCCCAATCAAACCGAGTCGGACTATCGGGTGTGAAAACGACCTAACAGTGGTTTGCACAGCTAACCCAAAAGTTAACTTCGCTAACCACTAATCCTTGAACTAATAATTATCTTTGCTAACGCGAAACCGCTAAACAGGTGAAATAAATAGTGGAAGCTAATGCTAACTGGTGACTTTTATCATACCCTGCTGACGCTGTAAGACTGTCTGTAATGTGACAATGTTGTGAGGGAACACATCTCAACGGGGAGTGGACGTGGGAGAGGACGGCCCCCAGAAACCATCTTATCACCAACAAACTGGTTGGTCCACTAAAGGCGTGTACTGCTTGGTGGGGAAAACTGTCTATTAGAGACTCCTCAGACTGATGAATCCCTCTGGATAGAGGGCGAAACGTCTTTCCACAAAAAAGATACGGTCCAGATGACCTGACTGACCATTATTGGGGTTACCCTGGGGTCCTTTGTGACCTCACCGACTATTACTTGAAAATCTGATGATGTTTTTAGGTCCTGTCTATGCAGAATTATAGACAATTATTAAGGCTTCACTAACATTCAAGCGCCACTGCATGAGTAGAACATTTCTTTTTCTGTTTGCAAATTTATATGTATGATTTTTAAAAGCTCTTTGTGTGTGTGTTCCAGTGGACAAACAACAGCTCGTCTTCGATAGCTGGCCGATGAAAAACTCGGAGTTGCTGTCCAACTATAGAGTTCATCATGGCAGCACTATATGTCAGGCTGGACGTCCGTGTGTTCAAGGTGAAACACAAAGATCATAAAACTTAGCTGACTTTTGAAAATGCTGCCCTCAAAGTCTTTAAACTAAATACATCATTCTCAAGTATTTGCCTAAAATGAAACGGAAATCATAGCCATCTTTATATTCCTGTTTTCATTTTTATGCTCGTTGTATCAACAATAGGAAATGAGACAGGAAAAAACGTAATAAAAAAAAAATTAATACTGAAATACTTTTTATCTAAATAAAAAGAGAGAACAAACTGAAGGAACTTTGTCTTCACCACAGGTGCAGAAGAACAGGAGCAGAAAATGGAAAACATCAAGATCTTCGTTAAGAGCTTGACTGGTAAACAGACTGAGTATAATCTCAGCAACACGGAGGAGATGCAGAAAATGACCGTGCTGCAGCTGATGACACTGATATATGAGAAGGAAGGCATCCCAGGTAAACTTATCAGCTGCCAGTAGACTCGTTTATCTAATGAGAGAAAACGCATTTGTTAAAGTAAAACCATAGAAATAAAACATTAAAGTAAATTCTACAGACTTGTTGATTTTTGATATTTTGTGAAACTCATCTGCAGCTGTTCAGTCTTGTGTTTTTGACCTTCTTAAGAAAAGAACAGGTCAACTCTTGGAGCATTACACAAAAAAGTTTTTATCAGCAGAAAACTCAAACATCTAAAACTATTGGGGGGAAAAAAAACCCAGCTTTTCCTTCTCCTCCTCCAGAATTGATGCTAAATGATGAAAACAACAGCCAATAAAAGCAACAGTCATCGTTTAGTAACAACTTTGATATCTGTTGAGGCAACGTGGAGTTTCAGCCCTCAAATGCTTCTGCAACGATACAACTTTTATTATAAGCAACCTAATATTTTCAAGAATAGAGCTTCTATTCATTTTTAATTGTACAACACACGAAAACAGTAGAGGTCATTGATTATTAACCACAAAAATAAAACACAAGTCACATAAATGAACAATCAAATTATTAAAACAAATCAGCTTTGCAGATTTTTGATGTGCCAGTGGGCTTAGACATTTTTTTTGTTTGTATATTATTAATTATAACTGACTTTGATATTTAAAATATTTTTGCGTGTTTGTCTTGTGTGTGTGTGTTTTTAGAGGCCCAACAACAGCTGATCTTCAGAGGCTGGCAGCTGAAAGACTCAGAGCTTCTGTATGAATATGGAGTTGAACATGAGACCGTTGTGTATATGATTTTAACACTGTCTGGTGGAGGGGAATTTCGAGGAAGTATAGAGGTTTTAGTTGACTTTTTGGAACCGCAGGCACCAAAACTTTCAGACTAAATGCAGCATTGTACCAAGTATTTGCAAAAATGAAACGGTGATTATAACCATCTTCATCTGTATTTAAACTCTTGTGCAAAACTTATGTCAAAAACAACAGGTGAGACACAACTCTGTGATTTTATGAATTTAGAAATGAACCATTGAGGAAATTTCAAGGACAGGGCATAAATTAGGCCAGGATTAACTAGTCTGGATTAGTTTTAATCGACCAGCTTTGTCTGTCTGCAAAGCTGCCCCAGTGACTACAAGAGTTTTACAAAAAAAAAAAAAAGCAAGACATTGAGTCCAAGTGGGCCATGTTCCACACCTCCATTGTTGAAGTAGCTGTCTTGAACTGTGGCCACAAGGTTGTCAGTTGCACTCGGGTCCAAATAATCCGACCCCAGCCCGCAGCCATCATCTCTGAACCCCACCCGATCCCACGAATCAACAGTAATTACAGGTCCGAACCCGAAAACCCCCCATATATTTTTAATTAAGCTTTGACTGCTTATACCACCGACTATTATTAACGGTTGGTGGACACACGCAGCTGAGTACAGGAGGCAGAAGATCAGAGCTGAGGAGCCCTCAAAGCGCATTAAATGCTTCCCCTGCTTCTTCCTGCGTCCTGCTCTGATGTGTTGGATATTACATTATATAACATTTTCCACAACAGACCAACTTTTTCTGAGTTGAGGTTGTATGTTTTACATTTCCAGTGTATTGTTTTTTTATGTATCAGATGTGTCTCCTAATTGGGACCAAGAGAAAAACATTTATCTGTATATGTTATGTACAATGTTATGTACTACAATGTTACGCTGCCATATATTAGAACATGTTTCTACCTCATATACCACCTACACATGTACTAATCAACACGTGTCTCTAGTCTTGTCTCTTAATTACTTGTTTAAATTAGGTTACATGTCTTTTTGTACTTATTATAGGTCTGTTTGTATTGTACTGTTGCGTATCTGCACTGTGTTGTATTGTTTTGCGCTTTATGTTCTGTGTTGCACCGTGATCCCGGAGGAACAATGTTTCGTTTCAATATGTACTTGTACGTAGCTGAAATGACAATAAAACCTCTGACTGTTTGACACTTTTTTTTTTGTTCCCTTAAAGGGGGATCCATGATCGTCTAAATAGCAGAACACACTGACTGGAAGATATATTTTAATTTCTACAATGTAAAATATATATATATATATATATATATATGTATAAAATGTACCAGTGTTTGGTTTTATAAAGGTGTATTAATCAAGTCTGTGGTGATAATGTCAGGATCTGTGTTCGTTAGTTATGAATAATTGTTTGAAGTAATTCGGAGTCCAGGATTGATGTTTAACAAAAACGTATTAAAAATACTTGCATGGAGAGAAATATTGTCCTTACATCCAAGTGAACAAACCCTCAGAACCAGCACAACGTGTCCTTACAGTAACATGAGCAACACCTCTCTGACAGTACAGAGATATAAGTATTTATACATTTCCAGCACACGGGGAAGAGGATTTCCTCCCCTTCCTTCCTTTTGAGTAGTTTAAAATATATAATATATAAAATTGTAATTTTTTGTGAAGAATCAACAACAAGTGGGACACAATCGTGAAGTGGAATGAAATTTATTGGATGTGTCAAACTTTTTTAACAAATAAAAAACTGAAAAGTGGGGCGTGCAATATTATTCGGCGCCCTTGCGTTAATACTTTGTAGCGCCGCCTTTTGCTGCAGTTCCAGCTGCAAGTCATTCAACCTTTATTTAGACCGGTAAATCCCATTGAGCCTCGAGGACTCATTTACAAGAGAGACCTGATTTCAACAAAGAATGATGACAATTCACAACAGCGACAAAAATAAACGGTTATAAAAAGTCATACAGATTTTGAAATGAAGCTGTTTTGACCATTAAATAAACGCTTAATAAATGCGACTTATACGCCAAAGCGATTATATGTTTTTTCCTCTTCATGATGCTCTTTTTGACTGATGCAACTTATAGTTCAGAGCGACTTATACATCAATGCTCTTCACTGCTCAGGTGCCTCCCCCAAAAAGTTTATACTTCTGCTGACTCTGTCCTTCACATCTTTTGGTCCATTTCTTTTCAGAAAAGAGAGCATCTTCACTTTTTTACTTTCAAAATGGCGTCTCTTCTGCTCCCATTTCAAGAACACTTGTAATTGTTATTAAACAGCTGCAGAAAATCAAGATAAAACGAGACGTTACAATACGTAAACTCACCAAGATAAGTAAAAAAAAAAAAACATTTGAAGCCATTTCACTCATTTAACTAACTAGAAGCTAAAAATAGCAGAACAGTCTAAAATGTAAGAGATATCAGTATATTGTGATTAATAAAATATTTGTAATTAATGTTAAGTATTATAAAAAGTATTAAAGTTACAAAAAAAAACTAACCATCAGAACACCCATCTCCAGAATGAGCTGAACGTTTCCTTATCAGATTGGCTAAAATAGCACAAGACACGTTGTTGTGTTTTTGATCTCACTTCTCCACCCGAGTCTGTTACCTTTTATTCCTGCAGGAGTCAGTCAAAGACACGCACTTAAATACAAGAGACACGCACCTTCTAGTTTTGAATATTTAATAAGCAAAGAAATTCAGAAGTCATAAAGTAGTCAAATCATAAAGTAGTCACAAATTCACAAGCATAAACAGTGGATTAGTTAAATGCAGTCATTATTTTAACATATTATTAATTGGATGCATCCCTTTAAACTCTACAATACAACCTTGTTTAAGGAGGAATCTGAAAACGACCGTCATACTGCTCCATTTTGCTGCTGGCTGCTGCTTCATCTCTCTGCTCACTCCTCCGTCTGTAAACTCCCTCGAGGGATAAAACTCTGCACATCCTTTGTTCTGTGAAAAAGGGCGTTCCTTACACAGCAAAACTAACTTTTCAGCGCGTTCTGAGTCTGCTGTCATGATTGGCCAGTTTTCAATCCAATCAGAAGTGGTTTACATCGTGTTACATTATGTAAACAGGAACAGACTTCAATCTGTGGGAGCCTCTTCAAAGTAAAACAGGAAGTGGGTCAATTTCAAAATAAAAAAAGAATAGGAATGTTAAATTCAACAAAGAACACAATCTTTATTTCACAACAACGTGTAGAAAAAGAGTTTAAACTTTCTAAATATTCGTGGAAAATCTTAAATAGAAAAACAACAGTATCACCAATACACTGTAATGGTGTTGTTTTATTGTATGAAATAGAAAGTGAAAGCTGCTAATGCCATCTATGATGTCATAACTTGTTTTGTCAAAAATCACCCAGAGCTGTTTTCAACACAGAGGCTGAAGGAGCACTGCAAGCAGCAGGAACTTGAGGAACATGGGGAAGATCTACCATGTCATGGTTTATGGTGTGAGAGGGGAGAAGATGATGATTGACCTCTGCAGCACCGAGGAGCAGATGCAGAAAATGACCGTACAGCAGCTGAGGCAGAAAATAGTTGAGAAACTCCCAGAGATGGCAGGTGAGTCACTGAGACAAGTTATCAGCTGCCATTGGACTCATGAGAATAAAACAAAAATAAATTCTGCAGGATTATTAATTTTGTGACTGGACCAGCATTTTTAATTTTTATGCTCCTCCTGTGGTAACGCTCACTTTTCTTCAACTCAGAAACATTTCTAAACTCAAATCCATGGTTTCTTTACATAATGTGAAAACAGTTGTTTCAGCATATGTTGGATTATTGTAACTTTATTTTGGCACCAGTTTGTTGTCACATCAAGACTGGTACCAGGAAATAGACGGTGTCACCTGTGTTAGCTTCCCCTCAATGACTTCCTGTTAAGGAACGGAAGTTGAATATATTTTCTGTTGCACACAAAGCATTGTATCTGAAATATGAATAAAAGTATGAAATTCTCCGTCTTTATATAAATTTTAGATAACTTGGGTTTCGGATGTCCCACATTAGTTAGTAGGAGAGATTATAGTGGGAATTTCTGGAGTTACTGGGAGCATATAGGCAGAGCCTATGAAAAAGGTAAATTTCTCCAACTTTCTTTTAAAACTATTATTCAAACAGTTAAACCTTGTCTAAATTCTCATGCATTTAAAACCGAAAAAAATTCTGTCCAAGTAATTAGTTTTATTTAGATAAATTAGATTTGATTCTTGATCAATTATTTATTTATCTTAGAATGTTACACCAAGTCCAAGTACTCAAAAACTAATTATTTAAAGTAGTTATTATCCAAATTATTGTTCTTTGTGTTTTATAACTTTATTTTTGTTGTTCATGTTCTAATTTTGATTATATTTGTAATGATAGTAATTAATATTTCTATTTCAATGAGTGAAGGTGCCATCCAGGTCCTTAAGTCCTTGAGATATGAGGAAATTGAGACCTTCTTCTTAAGGGGGACATAAACCTGACAATCATCTGCATACAAGTGAAAAGAAATGTTGTGCTTTTGAAAAGTGGACCCAAGTGGAAGTAAATAAAAACAAGAGATGGGGCCCTAAAAGTGAACCCTGTGGGACCCCACATGAGAGAGGAGCAGAGGAGGCCATTACATTGTTCAAATAACTATTAAAATAAAACAAGAAGTTAATTAGAGGTTATTTCAACAATTAACAATGAGGCTAATTAGTATATTCACCAACCATTTGATGGCGTTCATGAAAAAGCAAAATGTTTTAGAGGTTTTACATTTTGGTTTTAAATCACTACACAGCACTGAATCAAGCCTTTTAAAAAAGTTTTTCATAACGTATTTTTAGCCATTGACTCTGGAGACACTTAGTTACTCTTGAACTTTGAGAGTTTTCAGGTTAAAAAAATTACGTTAATTTCTGGCCTTTTTAAAATGAGGGATAACAACATTTTTATTTATTTTTTTTCTTCTAAAATACAACTAGAATTGATGCTAAACCATAAAAAAAAAAAAAAAAACAATGAATGCTGCGACAGTCACAGTCTTTAGTAACAACTTACTTTGATATCTGCGGAGAATAACTGTTTTTTTTCCTAAAATGTTTCTGCAAAAATAAAAAAATGATTGAACTTGAAACTATAAATTAGTTAACATCCTCAAGAATTAAGATTCTATTTGAATTATTTGTACAACACGACAAAATGGATGAGGCCGCTGAGTAGTTGCTGAACAATAAAACTGCAACAAACAACTGCTTTCCTGTTTTCTTATGCACCAGGAGAGAACAAATATTTATTTAAAAGATAATAATTGGGACTATAAATATTAATTAAAAATTCTCTCTGTGTTTTAGACATCGACATGCGGATGATCTTCACGGACAAGATATTGGACAAGCCACAAGAGTTGCTGTCTGCATACGGAATTCAAAATCTGAGCACTATACAGCTAATTAAACGTGTAACTGGTGGAGGAGTACGTCGGAGAAGTGCAGAAAATTTAGCTGATTTTTGGGAACGCTAACATCAAAACTTTTGAAATCAATTCTAGTAAAAATTGTGCCAAAATGAAATATTGATCTTAGCCACCTCCATCCTTATTTGAACTGTTAATTATTGTTATGGCAAAAACAACTGCTTAAACATCATGATCATCTCAGAAACTTATGTTTTGTTCATAATGAAAGCGTCAGTCTGACGAAGTCTTCTGGATTAAAAATGAAATGTTTCAACAAGTTTATGTTTTTATTTTATTTTTAATCCATCCAGGGAACCTGACTTAACTTTCTTAGATTTTTCTACCTGGATTATTGAGCATGCATCAGCATTTAATTATCTTTTGTTTTGATTTAAAAAAAAAAAGGATATGATTGTTTCTGAACAACATTCATTTACTGTAAAACATTTGGCAACGATGTGAAAAACTCAGAACCATGTCCTAATGTTTTGTTTATGAAGGCGTATTGATCATGTTTGTCATGGTGCACGATTTAAACAAATACTTCAATAAAATCAACTGACAAACTTTGTAGCAAACTTCTTTAATTCATTTGAAGCATTAGTTCTCCATTTTAAACATATTTAGAACCTTTTTTCATGTTTGAAAGTATTTGTAATTGTTCACTCTAAAATAAATCTGTTGCTTCTTCAGTTTGTGATCAGTGTTATTTTGTTATTCACCACTAAAGGGAGCTGCAGCCTTTTCAATTCTCTTAAATGTGAGTTTTTGAAATATTAAACACAAAGATAATTTGTTATGAATGAACCAAAACATGGACATGTCTGTCTTCAGACAGATGGGACAAATCAGGGCTCAGAAACCTTCTTGTCTCATCATCTGAAGAGTGAAAGCTGCAGAAGAGAGAATTATAACACTTAAAACGGTGATATACTCTCTGGTTATGTTTTTGGGAGGAAACGTTTGAGAAAAGAAAAATAATTAAACTAGATCGCAAAATTGGTGAGACAAAAGCCGGGTTGGTTGCTTCAAACAGACCCTGAAGCAGAAGGACACCAGCAGGAAATGGAAGAACCGCGTGAGCAACCTGAACACTGAAAAGACCTCTGATGCACATTTCAGGACAAACTCTTGAAGGATGTTTCTCCAAGACTCTAACATTATTAGATGCACCCTGTGCTTCAAGGACAATTGATAAATTAGACCAGAGAAAATCCGTTCAACTTTACGAAAACAGATGTCTCTGATTGTAGCACAACAAGAAACAAAATCATGTCTTCACAGAAGTCGTCAGCAATCAGACGGAGGCTGCAGCTGCTGTAAGAAAATACGAAACTGAGAGAAGAGACTTCTGTCAGAGACTGTTATTCTGTTGTACGATTCTGGTAGTTTCTGTCTTAATCGTTTTCTCTGCAGTTTGTAAGTGGCTGGGCCAAGCTGCTCCTTCCTGGTTGACAACATACTGGTGTGTTTAAGGATCTTGGAGCCTGTTCTTCAACAAAACCAGCTACTAGGAGTACAAGCCTCTTGTGCCAGTCCCAAGCCTGGGTAAATGGTGAGGGTTGTGTCAGGAAGGGCATCCGATGTAAAACACTTTTGCCACAACTAATATGTGAGTTCATCTAAATGACACCATACCGGATCGGTCGAGGCCGTGGTTAACAATGACCACCAATGGTGCTGTTGACAAACAGGGCACTGGTGGAAATTATGCTACTGGTAGTCAATGACCATAAAGAAGGAAACGTGTCAGGTGGCAGAGGGAGAAGAGGAAAGTGAAGAATGTAGGACTGAGGGAGGCAACTCTAAATGTGGGGACAGAGATAAGCAAAGGTATAGAGCTGGTTGACATGATGCAGAGAAGGAAGGTAGACGTTTTATGTGTCCAAGAGACCAAGTGGAAGGGCTACAAGGCTCACAGCATTGAAGCAGGTTTTAAACTGTTTTACCATGGTGTGGATTGAAAGAGAAATGGAGGAGGGGTGGTCCTGAAGGAGGAGTTGGCAAAGAATGTAGTAGAGGTGAAAAGAGTGTCAGATGGGGTGATGTGCCTGAAGGTAGAGGTAGAAGGTATGATGCTAAATGTTGTCAGTTGTTATGCTTCACATGTTGGATGGGATGAGGAGGAGAAAGATACATTGTGGAAGGATCTGGATGAAGAGATAAAGCGTATTCCCAGGAAAGAGAGAGTGGTGATCAGAGCAGACCTGAACGGACATGTTGGTGAAGAAAACAGAGGCGATGAGGAACAGAGAGGGTCAGAAAGAACTTCAGGAACTTTATGGAGAAGAGATGTTGATGATGTGGAACACTGCAGTTGAGGAACAGGACAGTGGAGCGCCTCAAGAAGACAAAATGAAAATACTTTCCAGCCTGAGCTTGAGGCTAACCCTAACCTTGAGCCTGTAGTGAGAATAATGCCTAATAACATTAAAAATGTTGCTTGTTAGCTGTTTTCATTCTAACATATGAAAGAGCTTTTCACACAAATTCAGTTATTATAGATGTCAAATACACATTTAGTTGAAAATGATTGATTAAATTATTTGGTCAGTAATAATTCAGCATAAGTAGAAAGGTTTTAACCAGTTTGTGTGAGAACCAACGTTTAAAAGGGACAAAGTCTTCCAAAGAACTAAAAGTAAAAACAGTGTTGAACACGTGAATCATATGTTATGGATGGCTTCATGTTTAGTTTCTGTTTTTCATCTTCAGGCTCTCACACACAGAGAAATAATAATAATAAAAAAACCAACCAATATGTGGTTTCTTTCAAAATACAGATATCAGTATTTTAAATTTATGTGCGTTCACCTTATTTATTTATGTTTTAATCATTGCATTAATTCATATTTAAACACCTGATAATGTTGGCTGTGCGTGTGCTATTTGACAAATAAACTGAAACAAGACTATTTTTGTGCACACTGGTTTATAAAGTCCTAAATGATGACGATGACGGTTAACAGACTGGTTCTTGTTCTGCTGGCAGATTGAGTCACCAACAGGTTTCTCGTCTGTCTTTAAACTTAATAATACCCTGCGTTTGTTATTTTAACAAGTAGGTTTGGACTTTTAACTTCCTTTTCAGCCAAATAACTTTTTTAGGACATCGATACAGAGGAACTTACAACTGAAGAAGATTTTACTTTGATTTATTTGTGTTTATAGATTTTGATTACATTTGACAGATAGTAGACATTTTTGTAGCTGTTATCTGTGAATGTGACGGGTTGCCAGATGGGACAAAAAAATGTTAAACCAGCTTTTATTGTGAAAGTGGTGGGAATTTTTGATGAAATAGAGACAGTCAACTTGTGTAGCACGGAGAAGCATTTCAAGACTGTGACTGTGGGGCAGCTGAAGAAGAAGATATTACACCTGTTACCATCTTGATCCAGAGGTAGGTTTTGAGGGTCCATGGGGATATATCAATCTGGGCAGACAAGTTCAATACAAGAATCTCATAGACGATGATTAGAAGTTAATAGATCGTCAATTCTTTAATCTGTGTGTGTTTGTCTGCAGATTGGCCAGAAGAAGTAAAATTATTTTTTTTACAAACAAAAAGCTGGACGGAGACTCCACCCTGCTTCATGAACATGGAATCACACACAAGTCCATTACATGGCTCGAGTGTACGATCAAAAAGAGTTTGTGTCGAAGACAGATGAGGAGAGCAAAGCTCGAACAGGTGAGACTCATATTTAACTTTTAAAACGCAAGCAGCAAACCTTTCGGATCAGTTAGTTTCACTAAATTAAACATGTCAGCAAAAACTTGTTCATCTCCATCCATGTTTAAATGCTTCGGCACATTTTAAGACAGTCAATCGTTGCATAAAGCAAGACAAGAGATTGTTTAAAGTTGCTTCAACGTTAGCATGAACAAGAAGGCCTACAAGATATTCAGATTTCAAGAAGCTTACAGTCAAAGGATGAAAGACAGAAAAGAGTTATGATCAAATTTGCATGTATATCTAGTTTCTGTGCCACACAGGGATGGATGTTTGTCTGGGAGCCACACCATCACTGCAGGGGATGAAGTAGGAACTGGTCTCCAGACACTCAGGAGTGAGCTTCAGGCACACGAAGCAGAACTCCACCTGACAGCGAGGACAGATGATGTTCTTGCAGCCCGTATTGTCGTGCTCCACCTTCTGACCGCAGGTGGGACAGGCCCGGATGGAGGGACAGTCGTCGACCCCCACCACTTCAGTAAGAACGGTGGTCTTGCAGGTCCTGAGCAGTTCAAGGTCATGGTTGATGCAGCCATCGTTGTCGCAGCGGTCAGAGCGCGGAGCTGGACCTTTCCACGTCTTCAAACACTGCCAGCAGAACTCATATTCTTCCTGGTTATCTTCTGTGCACACCAAACACTCTACACTGAGGTTAGCCGGGTCCTCTCGTTCCACGTAGGACTTGCAGCCAGGACACTGTACGAAAAAAAATTAAGCGTTCAACCCTGCAGAAAGTTCACTGATTACAGTTTCTAACTCATTTATAAACAATCTGAAGGACTCTTACTGATTTAAAGTCACAGTACTGTGTAGCAGCCAGACGAGCTATGGTCTTTTCAAAGTGCTCCATCTCTTCAGCTGTCAGGGCGGCAAGCCGGCGCACTTCCTGATATGACCACTCTTCACCACACAGTTGCTGGGTTTCTTCTTTCACCGCAGGGCACCTAAATTTGTACTGGCCCTGAAAATAAAGACAAATCTGTCAGTTATGTATGTTAAGTATGTATATTTACATGCACATGTGCATATGTACAGGTATATACATGTATATTTGCTTAGATGTGTATGTATGAATACATATAAGTAAGTAAGTATCTGTCCGTCCATCCATCCATCTATTTATCCATCCATCCATCTTAAGCAGTTGAGCATGCATTGAAACTGGTTGGGATGTTAAATAGTCAGGGAGGAATTGTTTGTACCATCACAGTACTGACAGCGGGGTTTCTGCATGTAATCAGATAAAGTATACTTTAGCCAAAGGCAATCATTTAAATAAGGGAGCACGTTTATTAAATCGCTTTTTTGCTAACTGCCACAAAAGACAAGGAGCAGAGGACAATACTCTTTAAAGCACTCAACACTAAAGTTGAATTCAGACGAGACAAAGGAGCTTGAAGACCAGCTTCTGTTTCAGATCAGCTGCGTTAAAAGTTTTTTTTGTTTGTTCGTTTGTTTTTTTGTTTGTTTGTTTATTCCGATGACCAGTGGCAGAAATGGTGGACAAGTATTTACTCTTATAAATATACTATTTTTTGCCAAATCCTGAAGGAATTATTTGCCTCATGAGCTCTTAAGAGTCCCACAGAACAGCTGTCTCACAACAAACACACAAAAATAAAGTCATAAAAAGCATATAAAGTGAAAAGTAAATAAAAGTAGTGATATAAAAAGTAGTGATATAAAAAAAACAAACAAAAAAAAACACGTTATATTATGAAATGGGGTAAAATACTAGAAACAGGAACATGTCTGCATTGATTTTTGCATTGAACTTAACAAATGTTTAAAATCCATTAAAGAGGTCAAAATTGAGAGCTTCAGATCTTTTTGCAAGGTGTTCCAGGAAACAGGAGTGGAGTAAGAGAAGGCCCTTTTGCCGAATTCAGTCTGCACTGAGGGGACACTGCAGGTAATGATGTCTTGAGAGTGCACGCTGTAGCTGCAGTGACAAGGGTCTGTGTGAAGTTAATGATGACCAGTTAACCAGTGAATACAGGGTGCAGTGATGAGTACGGTAGTTACAGCCAATTATGAATCTTAGCGCATCGTGATAGACAGTGTCCAACATCTGCAGGGTGCTTGCAGGAGCGTTCACGTAAATATTGTCACCATAGTCAGTAGCCGGAAGGAAAGTTGCAGTTACAAGGTGTTTCCTAGCGTTCAGAGTTAGACAGGATCTATTTCTGAAAAAGAAACCCAGTTTTAATTTGAATTTCTTTATCAAATTTTCTAAACGAGGCTTAAAAGAGAGATGTGAATCAACCAAGATTCACAAGTGTTTGTAAGAATTGACAAACAGTAGGAACACCATTCGTAGATAAGATAAGAGGAAGGACTGCTGGTACAGACTTCCTGTTTGAAAGCAACATCCCTTTGATTTAATCAGCGTTTAGCACCAGTTTGAGACAGATCAAGTTTGACGGGATGGTGTCGAATGCAGACGGTAAAAGCTGGAAAACCTTAAAATACGGATTTAGCTCGACAGTAAACAACTGTATCATCAGCAAAGAAATCTAAGGATGCGTCAGGAATGATCTGACCTACATTACTTATGTAGATTGTAAAGAAAGTGGGTCCTAAGACAGAGCCTTGTGGTACACCAATGTTGACAGTTAAATAACTGGAAGAAGTATCATTGTGTTGAACACATTGCCTCCAGTCTGAGATAACTAGAAAAACAATCAATAGTGTGATCTGAGAAACCAATGTCTGAGAGGTTATGGCATAAGATGTCATGTCCACAGTATCGAAAGCTTTAGACAGGTCTGAACATGAACCAAACATTTGTTTAGAAACATTTTCTACATTTTTCGGAGACACTGACCGTAGCAAACACAAAACGCCTGTTGTTACAAGAAGGGACAAAGTGTTCTGTTTGTCTTTTTACAACAATTCTGCCCAACTTTGTGCCTAATGAGTTCTGTCACGTTTGAACGATAAAAAATATATACTCAACAAAAGCATCAGTTTTAATACTCAAACAGTCTAAATGAGAAAGCAAAAGTCGATTTAAGAGAAGAAAACCACAAAATGGGGGAAAGTACCTGATCCAGCAGGCTGCGACACCATCCGGTGAGAGACTGAGGGGTGACAGCGTGACCGCAGGACATCTCTGCTCGGAGACACTGGTCTCCTTCCTCAGGGGCTGAGGAGCAAAGAACAGGCTCTGAACTCAACAATTGCTAAAAAAAAAATTTGGGACTTTGATTATGAAAAAAAAAACACCTGACTTTTTTTAGTTAGGAAACAATCTATACACCTACCAAGATAGAGCTAAAATTCACAAACTGAAAGTAACAAACAGCAAATAAAATTCAAAGAATAATTGCTATACAGTTTTTAGTCCTTACGCATTGGATCCAGATCATCAGGTCTGTTGACAAATCTCAGTGTTGTGTCTCTGGGGTCGTATCTTTTCTCGTTCTGGTCCTGCGTGCTCATTGTGGCTCTGATCAACTCTTCTCCTCTCTCTGCTCTCAGGAAACTGCTGCAGCTGAATCACTCCCAGAGCACAGACAGTTTTCACTTTCACTTTCCTCCACAAATAAATTGTCATTTACAAAAAGTAAACCATAACAGACATGCCCTGATCATGAGCGCTGCTGGAAAACAGGGTGATTTCCAGCAGTAAGAACAAGGAAATACATTCAGAATAAAATGAGATTATTTAGACGCATCATTAAAGCATAAAAACAACTGGTCTGAAAGTGTTACTGGTGTTGGGATGGGTTTCTGCTTGTGATAGCCTACACCTGTCTGCAACCTGCGGCTCTGAAGCCACATGTGGCTCCTTGGTCTCTCTGCAGCAGCTCTAAGTTTTGACTAAAACTAAAATAAAACTGAAGTTTATTATTTGTTATACCAACAACAAGAAATGTCTTGTTTTAGCAGTTTTCCGGTCATTTCTTATGCCAATATGTGAATGATAGAAATGGACTGTACTTATATAGCGCCGCCGCCTTTATCTTATCAAGACACTCAAAGTGCTTTATAACACAGTCTGTGCCCTCATTTAGCATTAAGTGTATAACAGGTTATAAAGGTAGGAGTGAACAATGCCCTAGAGACCTATCATTGCCTGATGCCCTCAGTAAGTTCTATGCATGCTTTGAAGACCTGAACAGACCACCCAGCACCAGACTCACCTCACCACCGGAGGAAGAGCTTCTCAGCGTGACCTCAGCCGAAGTAAGGAGTACTTTGTACTTTCAGGAGGATTAATCCTCACAAAGCAACCAGCCCAGACAATATCCCCGGGAAGGTGCTGAAAGACTGTGCCGAATCCTCACCTCCTTCTACAGGTGTGCAGTGGAGAGCATCCTGTGCTCCAGCATCAACGTGTGGCATGGAGGCTGCACAGCTGCAGAAAGAAAAGATTTGCAGAGAGTAGTGAAGGCTGCACAGAAGTCTGTTGGAGTCAGCCACCCCACCATCACAGACATCTACACCTCCAGATGCAGGAGGAGGGCCACCTGCATCATGAAGGACCCCACTCACCCAGCGCACACACTTTTTGCCCCACTCCCCTCAGGAAGAAGGTTAAGGAGCATTAAGTGTAGAACCACTAGACTGAGGAACAGCTTCTACCCTGAGGCTGTTAGATTCATGAATCTCTAACCAGAATAATCACTGTGATAAATCACATCATGTTGCTGTGTTCATTTGTACTCATCTGTTCAGACCCATGTTCGTGCTTGTGGTATGAACAACATCAAGAACCTGGAATCCTTGAATTTACCCATTCATACAGCACTCTACTAGGGCCCTGTTTACATGAGAACAATTTCTGGTGAAAATGTAAGAGTTTCGTTGCGTTTGTACTGTTCATTTACATGAAAATAGCAAATGTTTTCTCTGACAAAGGCACAATTTGAGAACGAGCTCCAGAGTGCAATGTTTCAAAAAATGTCCCAGTGTCCGTTATTGTGTAAACAGAAAAAATAGATATTTTCTGTCAGAGAATCCATGGCGCATGCACAACATGATGCAAAATATAACGGCTTCCTACAATCCACAGAAGAAGAAAGTATCGACAATGGCGGATACCAGAGTTTGTGCTTATGGCTCTCCAACAGTTGAACCTCGTTGTCTGTTCATAGAAATATTTTATTCTCTGCCATCTTGACCATTGTAGCGGCTTTCAGGTAGAACATTTATTTTTTAACGCATGTGCAGTTAGAGGTTCAACTTTCAAAGAACATAGCACCAACTAGTAGCATGGTGGGGGAATTACACCGTTTCCACGTCTACCTTTACTGTGTAATTAGAGATTGTAATTAAATGTTTTCATATAAATGTGTCAATAGAAATAGGGAAAAAAAATCAGTTTTCATCGGATTATTGTCGCTAATTGAACAAACAACATTCTAAAGAGACTTGGGGAGTGGTGGCACAGAGGCTAGAGAAGATGGGCCTGTGATCTGAAAGTTGCAGGTTCAACTCCTGGTACAGTCAACACCAAAATGTGGGTGGAAAAGGTGAAACACCCACACCTGCCTCCACCATCATTTACCCCAATATGGGCCCCTGAGCAAGGCCCTTATCCCCCACCATTTGCTCCGAAACAGATCTCTCTTGAAAATGAGTTCTCATGACTCATTGAGACTACCTGTCTAAATAAAGGGTAAATGAAAAAATAATCAGTGCTTTATCACATTCATACACCAATGGGACACACATCGGTGGCAATGAGGCGTTCAGTGTCTTACCCAGGGACACTTCAGCATGTGACTGCTGGTGGATTCAAACCCCCAGCTCTTGCATTAGAAGGCCATCTGCTCTAGCCTTTCAGCCACAGCCGTCCCTGACACAACACACCCCTAGTACTAACACAAGGAGTAAAACTTGTTGACTACATCATGCTAGTAGTTTGTTAGCCACTTCTTTTAGCTCAATTCCAGTCTTTTGATGTTTTTTCTCAAATCCACCAAATGTTTATTTTTATTTTAATTTGGGGGGGGGGGGGGGGGGTTGATCAACGTTTAAGGCAAGTTGCTGAGAAAAATTATGGGAGTCAACTTGATAACAATAAAATTTAAAGAAAAAACAAAGTCAAAGTAATTGGAAGTATTTATTTTCACTTTAAAATTCAATTACGTATCCAACAAACTGGACTATTTTTTTTGCTCTATTACTTCATAATGGGATACTTTATGAATTGTTTCCACAATTAAAAATAATACTCACATAAGCCTGCATGCTTGTGTTTGATTTTTTTTTTTATTGGTACAGTCTTTTCTTTTGTCCTAAAATATAAAAATATCAATGCATATTAATAGTTTGATATTTTAGTTTCATAGTATCACACCTACTGGCCGGAAAAGCCCCCTCCAACTGGCTTGAAGTGGGCCATGGGCCATCAGTTGATAATTGCAGTTTTAGCAGGTTTTGCGGCTCCATAGACATTTTATTTAGTGTGCAAAGGAGCAGAAATGGCTTTTTTGATCATGACGGTTGAAAATTGCTGAACAAGCTGAAACTAAGTCGTTGAAGGTAAAAGAAGCCGAACACCAGCTAAATCTTTGAAAGCTCAATGTAACAAAAGCTGAAAATAAAAGGATAGTACAAACACAATTATTATTGAGCATGGACTTTTTTGGTTTTGAACCAGTTTGACATGACTGTCAACGAGAAAGAGGGCTGGCAACAGAGGAGGGGGCGTGCCAAAGACGCCATCTTAGCACCAACATAACTGGTTTGTTCCACATTGGAGTAAGCTGTTTGGGGGAAGAATCAGTTTTATGTTGTGTGTTTCCTTGACTGATGAAGCCTTCTGGATGGAAGGTGAAACGTTTCAGAAAAAAAGAAACTGTCCAGATGACCTGACTGAAAATTGTTGGATTGTATACCTGGATTATTGAGCATGGGCTTTTTTGAGTAGCACAAAAAGTTTGATAAAAGTTAAAGATAGCAAAAGGCTTTCTGACAAGTAAATGTAGCAGGTAACTTTAGTTTTGTTCAACTTCAATCAGAAAACATTTTGATTTCATTTGGATTATTTAACACATATTTACACGACTAAGCTACAGGTGAACTCAGTACTTTTTACCAAAAAGTCTCCTCTGTAGCCCTGTCAGTATATAAAATGTAGTGATGTTGCTGAACGTTTGTTTCTGTTTGACTTTTATTACAACTCTGACGAATATCTGTGTGTTTGTTTTACAGTCCAGGAATAGAAAACCTGCAGCTGATCTGCAGCCAGTTTCTTAGTGACATCTCTTAATGAGATGGGGATGACGAGTTGCAACAACAAATAATCTCCCTTTGGGATTAATAAAGTATTTTTGAATTGAATTCACAGATAAGGTGCAAGAAGGAGATACCACGCTGCTGTCTGTCTACGGAATCCAACACATGTTCAGCTGGTAATCCAGGTTATGGGGGACCATCTGGAGTGGACCTCCTTCAGACCCCTGCTGCTGCTGCTGGAGCCATCTCCTCCAGTGACTTTACAAATGCTAAAAATCTGTTATTTAATTTGTTTTCCTGTAATCTTTCCTATGTTTGAAACCACATTTTTTTCAGTTGTTGCACAAAATAAAACAGTTTTTGGCAAATCTTCTGCTTACATTCGTGTTTAATCGAGACACACATAGTTCAAAACTTTTGAAATGAGCATCTGCGGAAAAGTTATTTATGAACAAATGGTGTCTTACCTGTTGAGGCAGTTCTTCGGAAAAACCCAGTCTGAAGATATAGTTTATTTCTGACTGGTTAGATGCTAGTTTCAGTGTAGCCCAGACAAAATTAGATTCCCTTTGTCTTAAAACTTTGTCAGTCTCAAGGATTTCAAAGAAGTTCATGCAAACTCTTATTTATATATCTTTACATCCTTCTCATTTTCACATCACTGTACACAATTATTTATATAAAACTCTGTGGGTGTTTACAGAGGCGATGAGTAGCAGCAGCTAGCTGTAGCACTTTGTAGACTTTCTGCCAGAATAAACTCTAATATGAAAGTGATGAAAATGCAAACATTTACAATACAATGCTTGCTACAAAATTTTTAACTACGATTGTGCAGGATGAGAAGAAAACAATTCAATCTGTTAGTTTGTCAATAGTTTATAACCATTCCCGAGGTCATTAAATACAAGATAAATTTGTGTACCTGATGTAAACAGCAGTTCATCACAAAATACCATCAATGGCCTCTTCAGGAGCTCGAGAAATCTTTCATAAATGATTATTTGTGAGAGTTTTATCAAAATCCACCTGAAATATTTTGCTAACAAACAGATATTAAGGCGATCACATTACTGCCTGCCTTTCAGTACAGCTGAAGGTAACTAATGTCACAATTTAACAAAAGTGGGGTTCTTATTTTTAATGCGATTTTTGAAATTCTGTAAATATTGTCAATGTGACATAATTGCAATTTTAAATATGTTTCGTTCAGGTATTGTAAAAACTGCACTCAAGCCGCTGCAGATCTTTTATTTCTAACAGGTATATGT